CTGCGGGGAAGTCAGCTGGTGGGGGGAGGGCACGGGGCCGCCGGCCCTCTGTGGCGTCCTGGGCGCTTGCTGTGCTCTGCCAGCCTCGCGGGCGCGGAGGGTCGGCAGCGCGGAGGGGCGGAGGGCGCAGAGGGGCGCAGAGGGCGCGGAGGGGCGGAGGGCGCGGAGGGCGCGGAGGGGCGGCGGGCGCGGAGGGCGCGGAGGGCGCGGAGGGCGCGGAGGGGCGCAGAGGGGGCGGCGGGCGCGGAGGGGCGCAGAGGGGGCGGCGGGCGCGGAGGGCGCGGAGGGCGCGGAGGGGCGCAGAGGGGGCGGCGGGCGCGGAGGGCGCGGAGGGGCAGAGGGCGCGGAGGGCGCGGAGGGGCGGCGGGCGCGGAGGGGCGGAGGGCGCGGAGGGGCGGCGGGCGCGGAGGGCGCGGAGGGGCGGCGGGCGCGGAGGGGCGGAGGGCGCGGAGGGCGCGGAGGGCGCGGAGGGGCGGCGGGCGCGGAGGGCGCGGAGGGGCGGCGGGCGCGGAGGGGCGGCGGGCGCGGAGGGGCGGCGGGCGCGGAGGGCGCGGAGGGGCGGCGGGCGCGGAGGGGCGGCGGGCGCGGAGGGCGCGGAGGGGCGGCGGGGGTGGAGGGACGGAGGGCGCGGAGGGCGCGGAGGGGCGGCGGGCGCGGAGGGGCGGCGGGCGCGGAGGGGCGGCGGGCGCGGAGGGCGCGGAGGGCGCGGAGGGGCGGCGGGCGCGGAGGGGCGGCGGGCGCGGAGGGGCGGCGGGCGCGGAGGGCGCGGAGGGGCGGCGGGGGTGGAGGGCGCGGAGGGCGCGGAGGGGCGGCGGGCGCGGTGTGCCCAGCCCGGTGCGCGGGAGCAGGGCCCCAGACGGGCAGGCTGGACCGCGGGCTCTGAAACCTGTCCTGCGGGTTCTCCTGGCCCGCTGCCCGCTGCCCGCCCTCCACGGGACCTGGCGGGGCAGAGCCGGACGGCGGGACGCTCCCGGGCGGGCGGGGCTCGACGGCGGCGGCCCGGTCCAAATCCCGACCGGAGTTGCGCGGGGCGCAGCGCCGCCCCCGAGGCGGAGGTGGCCCAGCGCCTGAGCCCGCCCCAGAGAGCCTTTGTCCCGGGAGGCGAACGCGGAGTCCCGGGAAGCCCGGCGCCCGCGAGGGGAGGGGAGGGGAGGGGACGCGGCGGAGCCGGGCGCCGTCTCAGCCGGGAGGGACGGAGGGACGCCGCGTGGTCCCGCCGAGGCCCCGCCCGCCCTCCCGGCCTGTGGGCACGCCGTGCTGCCCTCCCCGCCCTCCCCGGTCCGCCTTCCTGGTCTGCGGGTGCGCCCGCCCTCCCCGCCCTCCTCCCGTCCATGGGCCGGCCCGCCCTCGCCGCCCTCCCCGCCCTCCTCCCGTCCATGGGCCGGCCCGCCCTCGCCGCCCTCCCCGCCCTCCTCCCGTCCATGGGCCGGCCCGCCCTCCCCGCCCTCCCCGCCCTCGCCGCCCGTGCGCCGGCCCCATGGAGCCCGGCCCTGAGAGCAGAGCTCCCCGGAGGCCCGGCGCGGCCATGGCGGAGCGCGGGGACCCCGACCCCGGCCCGGCGCCGCAGGCGGCCCGGCCGGTCCCGGGCCCGGGCCCGTTCTCCGGGAGGCCCCGGCTCGGGCCGCGGAGGCCGGCGGCGGGCGCCGTGCTGACGGCTTTCCGCAGGCTGGAGCCGGGGGCCGGGCCGGGCTCCGCGGCGCCGGCGGAGGACGGCGGCCAGGTCCTCTGCGTCCGCGGGACCCTCGTGCGCACCACCAGCGACTCCGACACGGACGCCGACGACGACGGGGGCCCGGAGCCCGGAGGGGAACCCGGAGGCCGGCGGGAGGGCGGGGAGGGCGCCCAGAGGACGGCCCCCGACGGGGACGGCGCTCCGCGGGCCTGCGCCGGGGAGGAAGACGCCGGGGAGGCCAGCGCCGGGGAGGAAGACGCCGGGGAGGACGGCGCCCGGGAGGACGGCGCCCGGGAGGACGGCGCCCGGGAGGAAGACGCCGGGGAGGACGGCGCCCGGGAGGAAGACGCCGGGGAGGACGGCGCCCGGGAGGACGGCGCCCGGGAGGAAGACGCCGGGGAGGACGGCGCCCGGGAGGACGGCGCCCGGGAGGACGGCGCCCGGGAGGACGGCGCCCGGGAGGACGGCGCCCGGGAGGACGGCGCCGGGGAGGACGGCGCCCGGGAGGACGGCGCCGGGGAGGACGGCGCCCGGGAGGACGGCGCCCGGGAGGACGGCGCCGGGGAGGACGGCGCCCGGGAGGACAGCGCCCGGGAGGACCCCGGAGTGGGCAGCGCTGGAGCCGGCGCCGGGCAGGACCGGGCTGGAGGGGACCCTGGCGAGGACGCCGGAGAGGACACCAGAGAGGACGCCGGGGAGGACGGCGCCGGGCGCAGCAGGGCGGGAGAGGCCCCGGGAGAGGCCTCCGGCGAGGCCGCCCGGCGGGGCTCGGAGCAGAGCTGGAGCGCCCGTCCGGCCGCGGCCCCGCGGGAGAAGGCCTTCCAGCTCCCCGCCGTCTTCAGCGGGCTCCGCGTGCTGCGGAGGGGCGAGCAGGCCGTCACGGAGATCCGGCCCAAGGACGCGGACCTGGCGCTGCTGCGGCTGACGCAGCCCGTGCAGCGGGGCCGGGCGGGCGCCGAGCCGGGCGCCGCGCCCTCGCTGCTGGAGCAGCTCTCGCAGCTGCTGGGCGCCGACGCGGCCCGGCCGGCCGGGGGCGCCCGCGGAGGGGCCCGGGAGGCGGGCGCGGCCCGGGCGCGGCCGGCCGAGGGCGCCCTGGAGGCCCTCCGCGCCCTGTTCGCGCGCCCTGCGCGGAGGCCCGGCGCCCACACGGAGCTGGAGGCCGTCAAGCGCCACATGCGGCTGGAGAAGGAGGCGCTGCGGGCCGTGTTCGAGCCGCCCAGGCCCCAGCCCGGCGGGCCGGCCGACCCCAAGAGCGTAGGTAGAGCTAGGGTGGCCTTCCGGGCCACGGCGGGCGGAGTGGGGCGCGGGGGGGGGGGGCGCACGGGCGGTCGGGCGGAGCGGGGCGCGGGGGGGGGCGCACGGGCGGTCGGGCGGAGCGGGGCGCGGGGGGCGCACGGGCAGCTGGGGCGGGGCGCGGGGGGCGCACGGGCAGCTGGGGCGGGGCGCGGGGGGCGCACGGGCAGCTGGGGCGGGGCGCGGGGGGCGCACGGGTGGATGGGCAGAGCGGGGCGCGGGGGGCACACGGGCAGCTGGGGCGGGGCGCGGGGGGCGCACGGGCAGCTGGGGCGGGGCGTGGGGGGCGCACGGGTGGATGGGTAGAGCGGGGCGCGGGGGGCACACGGGCAGCTGGGGCGGGGCGTGGGGGGCGCACGGGTGGATGGGTAGAGCGGGGCGTGGGGGGCGCACGGGCAGCTGGGGCGGGGCGTGGGGGGCGCACGGGTGGACGGGCAGAGCGGGGCGTGGGGGGCGCACGGGCGGCCTGCACCCAGTGGCAGCGGTGGGTGCGTCAGCCGGGGAGCCCCTTCCTGGGAGGTCCAGACCTAAAGGCCAGGCCCTTGACTGGCCTGGCGACCTGGCAGCCCGAGCCCCATCTCCGGGGAGCAGGGGGGCGGCCCTGGCTGGGCACGCTCGAGGAGAGGCCAGGAGCCAGCGGACGCTGAAGCCGCCCAGCCCGTAGCCCAGGGCCCTGCGCGGCGGGCGCAGAGTCCCGCGGATGATGGCCTCTCCCTCTTGTCTGCTCAATACATTCAGTTAAACCCGTAAAACCTAACGTGATCGCAGGTAGTAGTTAAAATCGCTAAATACAGCAGAGCATTCTCCTACTTGTAAAATGCAACTCCTAAAAACCTACAAAACTCGAGGGTGACCTTGTCCCAAAAGACGCACACTCTGTGTCTGACCCACGGACTCTGTGCCTGACCCACGGACACTGTGCCTGACCCACGGACTCTGTGCCTGACCCACAGACACTGTGCCTGACCTATGGACTCTGTGCCTGACCCACGGACACTGTGCCTGACCCACGGACACTGTGCCTGACCCACGGACTCTGTGCCTGACCCACGGACTCTGTGCCTGACTTACGGACTCAGTGCCTGACCTATGGACTCTGTGCCTGACCCACGGACTCTGTGCCTGACTTACGGACTCAGTGCCTGACCTATGGACTCTGTGCCTGACCCATGGACTCTGTGCCTGACTTACGGACTCAGTGCCTGACCCATGGACTCTGTGCCTGACCCATGGACTCTGTGCCTGACTTACGGACTCTGTGCCTGACCAACGACTCTGTACCTGACTTAGGGACTCTGTGCCTGACTTATGACAATAACTTCTGTGTGCTTCACTTTTTTTTTTTGGTCGGTCATGGGGCCCGAACTCTGGGCCTGGGTGCTGTCCCTCAGCTCTTCAGCTCAAGGCTAGTGCTCTACCACTTGAGCCACAGCGCCACTTCCAGTTTTCTCGTGATTTATTGGAGATAAGAGTCTCCTGCCCGGGCTGGCTTTGAACCGTGATCTTCATATCTCAGCCTCCTGAATAGCTAGGATTACAAGCGTAAGCCACTGGCACCTGGCTTATGTACTTTATCTTTATTATAACATTAAAATTTAAATTAAAAAGACTTGAATATGAAGCTAATCTCACTCATTTTTTAATAGGAAAGAAAAAAGATTTAGAGTGGATTTCTGAAAGAAGTGTGACTTACCAAAGCTGATGGAGAACACAGTTTATCCTTAGCATAAAAATCCCTAGAGCGGTTTGGGGTAAATTTGCAAACTATAAATGTACCTGAATACAGCACATTTGTTCTGTATCATCAACCCCGATTTGTGCTTTTAAAGATGGCTTTATTAACAAAGGTGTAGTACTTGTTTTGTTTTTAATAGGGACGCCTCCCCCATCCTTTACCCTTCTAGAAAAGGTTCGCGGCACAGTTAGATATGTCATTGCAGAATAATATCAGCATTGGTGTTAGCATGAGTGTGCTTCACAGTTCGTATGTTCTGGCCACGTTTCCCTTCACTTACCTTTGCCTGCTTTTCAACAGCCCGACCAGAGCCCTACGGAGCCGGACGACAGGACTCCGGGCAGACTCCAGGCTATCTGGCCCCCGCCCAGGACAAAGGACACAGAAGAGAAAGTGGGACTGAAGTATACGGAAGCAGGTAATGTGGACGGAAGCCAGGCACCCAGGAGCCAGCCTCTTCCTGCGGTGGCCTCAACGTGCAGAACTTGGGGTTTTGTTTCCTTATAAAATGTGATGCCGAAGGCCTCTTGTCATTTAGGTTTGCTGCTAGCCAATCTCTTGGGGGAGAAAGGCAACTGTGGGGGGATGAATGAAAGGGAGCATGTGTGTCGAGCAGGGAGCCTTTGGGGAATGAGTGGAGCAGGTGGATTACAAATTCCCCAGGAAGCAGGTGGTTGGAGCTCATAGAGTGTGCAAGCTGGTTGTGTTGCTGGAAGAGGCAATGCGTGTGCTTCTGCAGAGCTGTAATCTGAGGTGTGCTGTTTGCCTCTGAGTAATGCTTCCAAGATAAAGGAGCCTTGTGCAGCGTGAACGTACAGATGGCCTATCAGTTACTTGCTTGCTTTTGTGAGACAAAGCTTCGTTTAATGCATGTCCAATTTTAGAGCAATCGGACTCACTGGAAAACTTCCCAGGAGTTTTAGTTGAATCTGTTTAAATGGAATAGGACTCCAGACATTTTTAGTCTTTTAAGTCAAGATTCACATGAAACTGAACATCACTGTAGAATTAGAGATAGACATGGTTTAAGTGTGTGTGTGTCTGTCTGTCTGTGTGTCTGTGTATGTGTCTGGCAAAATCTCTTTCACAAAATCTCTTACCACATTCTTCCAAATATCTTTCTGGTATTTGGGTATTAGCTATTCCATGAATCTAGGTACTAGCAGAACCTACAAAACAGCAGACACTTGAAGAGGCCTTTACTCTGCTACTTCCTGGTCTGTTTAAAGTCTGTACTTAATAAGGCAGAAAACAAATTTATTCAGGTCCCTTTGCTGAGTTTTCACTTAACTGAATTCTTATGACAAGAGGAAAAACTGGAGTCATAACACATCTGGACAGACTTGTCGAACACCACTGACTTCTGTTGAGGTCCCAGCCAGCATTTAGAAGGGAAACTGATAATCTTCTAAAAGGGAGCCATTTACGATCCTTCCTTTGTCCCTTGGACCAAAGAGACTTTGCAAATCCACGTTCCATTCTCCATGAAAAAAGATGCCATTCCTGACCTACCTCAGGCCATGGGTTAAGCACCACATATGTCACAAGTTTGTGTGGTTTTTCCTATTTCTCCTTTGCCAGTTCCTTCCAGAGAGCCTTCCCTCAGCCCGCACACCATGCATGGCTTATCTTTTGTTGGTTGTCATGGGTAGGCATGTTTATTAAGACCAATTTATATAGTTGTCGAAAATACTTATTTTTGTAGGTAGATCAAAGTTTGCGTGCTTCTGTAGGTTTTGGTGCGATATTACATTTTCCCCATGGTTGAGAACAATCCCGTTGGCAGGTGTTATTTTCTACCTTGTAGGTACACAGTTACGCTCTTGCAGTCGGCCCGGACAAACGACCTCGCAGCATTTCGTTCTTCAGTAGAGCATGGACAGTCTCATGTGCTAATGGTGATATGCAAAGCTGTTTCACTGTTTCTGTGCTTACGCAGTCTCCAAAACTGGAATGCCTCCTATCAGCACTGAGCTGCCCTCTAGATTTCCTTTCCATCTTTCCTTTCCATCGTCTGGTGCGGTGTGAGTGGTTGAATGAACTGATGAAAATGGAAGACAGTGAGCCCAGAATCCCCCAGATCCTTGTTCCCCATTTCTACTACATACTTTAGTACAGTGGCAGTCTTCTTTATAAAATGGGCCGTGCCAGAGTGAAGGAAATTAACATTGCAAGGCCTTTCATGGCTCTGCTATTTGTAATACCGCATGGTATTTACCCCTCACAGACGTTGCTAAGTCTTTGTTTTCTGTCCTGTCACCTGATTTACCTGGGCTGTGTTTCCTCAGGCTTCTTTGATAGACTTGTATTCTTAGAACTACTCCAGGTCTTACATGAGGGGAGAAGGAAGAGGAGAGGGGCTAAGGATGGCAGTTGTGTAGGGAAGTCTCGGAGAGCACCGTTGCACAATGAGGTGAGGTAGGCTGGTCAGGGCCAGGAAAGGTGGCCTGGTGCCCTGGCAGCCTCCCACAGGGGCAGTGGTACTGCGTGTTGGGCACTCACTTGCTTGGGAGCTTCTTGAATACCCGCTTATCTGCTGGTATACTTTGAGAGAGAGGGGTTTCTGCAGAAGAATTAGACATCTGTGCCTGTAGGAGAGTAACTTTGGATCCACTCCTGGATATCACTCTATGCCTGCCCTGTCATTCACTGGTGATTTTGAGAGAATTTACTTTGTTGTTGTTGTTGTTGGTTGTGGAGCTTGAACTCTGGGCCTGGCCGCTGTCCCTGAGCTCTTCAGCTCAAGGCGAGCGCTCTACCACTTGAACCACAGCGCCACTTCTGGTTTTCTAGTGGTTAATTGGAGATAAGAGTCTCACAGACTTTCCTGCCTGGGCTGGCTTTGAACCGTGATCCTCAGATCCCAGCCCGCTGGGTAGCCAGGATGACAAGGATGAGCCACTGGCACCTGACAAGAGTTATCTTTTCCCCTGCACTTTCCCTAGGCTCCATTGTTCAGTGAGCTGAAGTCTAGTTTTCTGTGGAGCACATTTGTGGCGTCTCCATCGCCCTCCCTGACCATGGGGAGACAGACAATACTTATCTCTCTGCAGGGAGCACAGACAGAAACTAGGTCCATGATAGTTCAAGGTAGCCAAAGTCTTATGCCTTTACCTTTTTAGTGTATTTCTTTTCCTAGGGTTTATTTTCATTAATCTACTGATACAAGAGATTAAGATTCAGTCACCGAGCCATACGTCTAACTCTGCTCTTTACTGTGGGTTCATTTTTGTTGTTGTTTTGAGATAGGGTTTCACGTCTTGCCCAGGCTTACCTGTAGGTTGAGATCCACCTGTTTTAGGCTTCCTGTGGCTGCTGGAATGACGAATGTCCGCCACCACATCCAGTTTCCCTCCATTAAGCCACAGTCCTCACAATCTCAGCCTTCCACGCAGCCTGGCACATGCCAGACTCAAGCTGCTGAACCAACTGTGGGCTGAGCGGAGGTCTTGTGAACTTTTGGCTGTACTGATCTTGTTTTTATCTTCCCAAGTAGCTAAGATTATAAGCCTGAGCTACCAGCATCCAGCTCCTATTTTTTACTTTATTTTTGGTAGTGCTGTGGTTTGATCTCAGGGCCTCATACTTGTTAGGCAGGTGCTTTACCTCCTGAGTCACACCCATGGCCTTTTTTGCTACAGTATTTTTTGGGGGATACATTTTTATTTTTTGCCTGGGGCAGGCCTCAGGTGGCAATTCTGTTTATGACTCCTATGTAGCTTGGATTAGAGGCATGCAATACCACTTTCAACTTATTACAATGGGACCTCCCTAACATTTGCTCAGGCTGGCCTAGAACCACGGTCCTCCTGATCTCCTCCTCCTTCACACATGGGATTTCATGAGTGCGAGTGCGCTCCCATGCCAGGCCTCTGTATCCCCGGAGTGCTCTCAGAGTCTGTGCTGGTGATAATGCATGGTCCTGGGGGAGCTGGGAAAACAGTGGTGTTTTCACGCTGAGGCCAGCCCTGCCCACACCTCACCCAGTCCGTACGTTGCCCTCAGCCACCCTGGCTTTGCCGCGGCTTCAGTTCTCAGAACTTTAAGAGGTCACCTTGCACTGCAGGGAACTGTTGCTAAGGGTAAGAAGTACAGGAGCCAGCGGGAGGGGCTGTCCCTTTAAAACTGAGTCCTCCTTGCTAACCACAATTGCTGGTGCTGCTGCCAAGTGTGCTCTCCCCCGGCCGCCCGACACCGTGACCAGCTCCTGCAGTGTGCAAAGACATTTCAGCTACACTCCATTTACACAGCCATTTACAGCTAAAGCCCTTGGCTCTGGCTGTAGAGTCTATGGCACCCCGAGTTCCCAGCCCGCCATTCGGGGCACCCTGACTGCCAGTCTCCAGGTCCTGAGGGTGGGTGATGTGCTGGTTGGGAGAAGCCCAGGTTCCCGCAGAGCTGCCCCTCGGAGGATGCCGAGTGTGCTCGGGTATGTGACTTGAACACTGACAGTAAAAGTGAAACATTTAGATGTTACAGACTGCTCTTTCAGTCTCCTTTTAATGTTTTTTTATTGTAAAAATACTGTACAGAGGTGTTACAGTTACATGAGTAAGGAATGAGTATGTTTCCTATCAAACATTGTTGCCTCCTCCATTGTTTTTCCCCTACCATCCCTACCCGCCCTACCCCAACCCCTCTCCCCCAAATTGTAAAGTTCGTTTTAACATAGTGTCTTGTACATCTCATTGTTACAATGGTTCATCCTATATCCTTATTTCAGCATTTTGTTATTTCCCTTCCCCTCCCCAAATTAGAAAAATGTATATACAAGATGCAGGGCATCGGAATCAAATACAGTGAAAACAGGTTGTCACTGGGGGAAGAGCATACAAAAGAAACAAAAAAAATCACATGGTACATTATAAATACGTTAGAAATTATGTGGTCATATGTACATAGCTTTTGACCTTTTCTGTTTGTCCTAGACTTAAGGGAAACCATGGGATCTATGTTTCTTTGGGCCTGGCTTACTTCACTTAATATAATTTTTTCCAAGTCTTTCCCTTTCCTAACAAATGAGGTGATGTCATTTTTTTCTGATGGAGGCATAGAATTCCATTGTGTATATATACCACATTTTCTTGATCCGTTCATCTACTAAGGGGCATCTGGGTTGGTTCCATATCTTATCTATGGTAAATAATGCTGCAGTAAACATGGTTGGGCTGGTAGCTTTGGTATGGCCTTGTTTGTGATCACTTGGGTAAATGCCTCAAAGTGGGATTGCTGGGTCATAGGGGAGCTCTATGTGGAGTCTTTTGAGGAACCTCCATACTACTTTCCAAAGTGGTTGAACAAGTTTACACTCCCACCAACAATGCAGTAAGGTTCCCTTCTGTCCACATCCCCTTCAGCATCTGTTGTTATTAGATTTCTTGATTATAGCCATTCTAACTGGGGTGAGGTGGAATCTCA